TCAGTCGACCCCTGTTTAGTTACTTTGCCTAGAAGGGTGGCAACCAAGGCAAATTCAGGGCCACTTGTCACCCTTCTGGGCCTAACGGTCTGTAAGCGTCTGCCATGCCATGATAAACAAGCCATGGCCCTCGCAGTCTGGTATGCGCTGGATGTCCTCCGACAACCTGTCGGTAGATGCGCTTCCCCCCCTTTTGGGTGTACAGGTTTGAGCATGGCTGTCCAGTCATACTCTTCTTTCTGACCCGTTGTGGTGCTATTGTCGATGGTTACAAGCCTGATCAATTGTTGCGTGGGCCAGGGAGTGTAGAGTGGAGCGCCAAGTTGCGAACTCGGCCGCGTCATCCATCTGCGCCCTCCACCGCCTCCGGTCTTCTTAACTCTGTCTTGACACGGGGTTCAGGTGGCGGAGGAGGAGGAGGAGGAGGAGGAGGAGGAGGAGGAGGAGGAGGAGAGAGTTAAGTAAATGCAACCCAAGTCTACACTCACTATAAACTAATTCACGCGCAAGTCGCCGTGCCTGCTTCATCTTGCTGCGAAGCACACGGTGAACATCGTCGATGATAACGATCAAACTGCCGTGTCTCTCTCTCTCCCCCTCTCTCTTTGCCTTAGCAGCGACTACCCAATCGGCTTCGAAGATCACTGTTGCAGCCTGTACGGTCGTGCACCATGCCTGTTGATCTTGAGTGAGTTCCTCTCACGTCTGCGGGTTAATTTTAAAGTGCTTGAGTGGGATCTCTTCACCACGTCTGCTGCCAGCCGTAAATGCGCTACCGTGAGCAGACGCTCGTCATCCACCTCCACGACGCTGTCGCTCCAGCGCAGTCACACATTCACTGGCGTGGTGTACATAGATACTGGGGACGCCGATTCTTTCCAAAATCTCACTGTCTGGGAACCCTTCCCTCCACTTTGCCCTCAGAATTCTTCCGAGGCAGTTCAAGTAAGAGTGGCTGAGTCCTCTTGCTCGGACTTCATAAACAGTCCAAGTTTCGGCCGCGTACAGCAGCGTTATCAAGACAACATCCCTGTGTATCCACTGTTTCATACTGAGTAGGATGCCGTGACAGTTCCAGACGGAGTGCTTTGGCCGATCGAAGGCCTTACTGACTTTAAAGATCCGGGTGGCCATTTTGTCGTCAATTCGGATGTTTTTTGAACGTGCATGCGAGTCACTCCACTGCTGTGGGAAGGGGGTTCCATTGATCTTGGTGCAGGATTCGGCGCTGTCGGCATTTGACTCCACTTGGTGCATGACCACTGCCTTCTGTATGCTGATGGTCAGTCCGAAGTTGGAGCGACCGAAGGCGAAGGGGTCCACACTCCACTGCATCTCCTCTTCCGTTGTGATATTTGGCGCACAGTTACCCACAAACAACTGGTCGTAATACCCCCGAAGATGTTTTCGAGGGTCGTACGTTGAGAGGCTCTTAGTCGGTTTGGCATTTGATATCGATCCCTTACAATGGATCAAGGTCGGTTCTGAGACTATCATCATGCGTTTGTTGGCCGGCGAAATTGTGGATGGTGGATGGTTGCATTGCAACAGTATCCTATGTGCGCAAACTACCTTTTTCGTTTGCTCTCTCTGGTGATAGGTTAGAGGGTTAGCTCTACGTCAGGTGAACAAAATTTTTTGTTCTACCTATTGTATTCCCTACTTCCCAACTTCTTCCTGGACCTTGCTCTGTTGCCTAAATCGAGGGGTGTCGTGCATGCGTGTGTTGTGGAGTAGGCGCACCTGTAGTCAATAGGGGTGTGTAGGCAGGTAGAGCAAGAAGCTGTTATGAGGACTGGACTGTGTTGTTTTAATGGGAATTTAAGTGGATGTGCATATGTAATAATAGGTTCATGTGATAGCCGAGTGTCCCTGAAGCAGTGTAGGGAGGGTAAGTGCGTGTGATGGGTGTATTTTGAGGCCCCATCTACTAGTCCGTCAGTTTTAGTACAATGGATCCGTAAGTAATCAAACAGACTCACGGGCGATTTAAGAGTGTCTTCACTGAGAATGTTGGGCGTGGTGTTTTGCGAGATGAGAGAGGGGTTTGCAAATGCCCAATTGGGCAAATTCGTGCCAAGAATGTTTGTTGACAATATAGACTCGATGCCAGCCGTTGGGTACTCGAGAAGATGATCCGTTATACTTGAGTTTCGCGTTCCTTTCTGTTTGCCTTGGCCGAGGCTATTCAGTCGGCTGCAAAAGTTGCTGTTTTGACCCGCAGGGATTGTACGAGGTTTCCCGAAATCATCCTTTCAAGGTATGCGGACTTCTTAACTGCTGTGAGGGGCATTTCACTGACGTTGATAAGGGGTTTGGTGTGAGGAACACCGGGTGTCGGTTGTTGCAAGACCACTATCTTCTCATTGGGAATGATCAGGCGGACGTTGGAGCATCAGAAGACGAAGAGGTCCACACTCCGCTGCATTTCCCTCGTCCGTGGTGGTGTTTGGAGCACAGTTATCCGCGAATGATAGGTTGCGAATCTTGGACGTAGATATTCATGAAAATGCTTTTAGCCGACGGATGTTTAACAGTTTTCGTCAGTCCGGTATTTGATGTTGATCCCGACAGCTCCTCATGGTAGGCTTCCATCAACATGGAGGTAAACATGGGGACTGAATAGGATGAGAACGAGTGCGCAGTCATGCTTCACCGCACTGGCCACAGCGAATGTTTCAGGGATTCCTACTTTATCAATGACACGAATCATCATTCTGTTGTGAAATTGTTCCACCATTTGAGTGGATCTCTCAAAACCTGAATTTCAGCATGATTTTCTAGAGTCCGTCGCGCTTCAGACCCATGGTAGCATAAAGCTTGATCCTCAGTTTCTGGCATGTCTCCTGCAGGTTGCATGTCGTGAAGACCATGCCTGTGACTTCGCTGTGTTTTCGGAATCCGCGGTACGTTTCTGGAAGTAGTTTCTACTTCAAATTCCTGCTTAAATGATTGAGTAGAACGCGGACGAAGATTTTCCTTGTTTTACAATAGTTCCCAACCTCTCCCCCCCCCCTAGGCATAAGCGTGTGAACAGCCAGTCAACGAAACGGAACTTGCAGGTTCGGACACTTATATCTGTAAAGGCTGTTCTTAAAGCCGTGGCAGCCTGCCTCTCAGCATCACGAAGTTATCCCGTTTCTAGGCAAGTCTTGAATCGTCGACTTTTAAGGCGGTTTAGTTAGTGCGAGGAAAGGTCATGATCGGTTTATAATCAGTCTAAAAGGCCAGAGTCCTCGTAAATGTCATATCCGCTGCATTCTGGCTCAGCCCGACGTCGAGAAACGCGTGGATGATTTCATCCGTCTCTTCTTTTCCCCCAACATCCTGAATCTGAACTAAATGCCACGACAAACCCATTTAGAAGTTTGTTTAAAAACAGTGCTACTTAAACTATGTTAATACTATTTACACAATGACTATTTCTCGGAATGCGCTTGTAGCCCGCACATAAATAATGGGCTTTGCCTGAAACGTCTAGGCGGTGAGTGTACTCAGAGGTCTGCAATCATCCGACCAAGGAAAAACAGAAGCCACCAGCTTGAGGGCCTTATTGTATACAGGACCCAGAGTTATCCTATCAGGCGGAAATGGCCGCTGAGATGGCTGGTGTTAACTGCGCCCCGTCATGCCTGAGAGCTTGTGAGACAGTGATGACAGCTGCTTTTGTAGGGTTTGTGAGAACCAAGTTCAAGTGTTGTCCAGTTGGTGTGCTGCATTTGCCGGGAGGTGCTGTGCCTAGTAGTTTATATTGCATTCGGCGCGTGGGGGTGCCCAGTCGTGGGTACACGTGATGGTCGTAGTGGGTCTCTCACTTGCTTACAAGGGTTGACTACGCCTAGTGTCCCTTAGCTGACACACGACACTCACATGTGGCTCCTCGAAGTTAGGCTCCGTCTAGCGGCCACATCCTGGTAACCACCTCGACCGGCAGGCTAAACCAGATGATGGTGTCCGAGCGTGTTTCCACATACACGGTAGCTCTGCTCCCCCTCCTCCTCCACCCTTCTCCCCGCCCTCCACCTCCCTCTTCTACCCCTCCATATCCTCCGTCCTTCTTCTACGCCCTTTTCTCCCCCATCCTCCTCCCCCCTTCTTCTATCCCTCTCCCCTTTAGCTCTAACCTCCCCGTCTCCCCCTCCACTCCTACCTTCCTCCCTTCCCCTCCATCCTTCCTCCGCCCATTCTTCTCCACCCTCCTCCTCCCCTTCCCTTTCTCCTTTTCCGATCCCTCCTTCCCCTCCCTCTTCCCCTCCTTCTCCTTCCTCTCTCTCTTACCTACTCTTCTCTTTTCCCCACGGTCGAGGAGTCCTACGGAGAGGGTGGCATGCAATCACGTAGGCGGCCTAGACCAATCGGATCGTTCTCTCACTAAACCCCGTGGCACATAATGAAGATCGGTAGCCCTATAGCGCGACTAAACCGCCTTATTTAGGGAGAGCAAGACTTACTCCCATGAGGGAGAAGGGGCTAGAAATGGTGTCCTAGACAAATACAGGGTTCACAGCACGTGCACGCAGACCGCGGCCCACAGACTGCAATACCTGCGGTCGAAATCAACAAACGCGAAACCACGCTTTCCATCTCCCCCTCCTCCTCTCCATCCCGTCCCACAGACTGCTAGGATGGGTCAGTCCGCTCTGGCAGCCTGGAATGTTCGTTCATCTCCCTTTAATCGATCTCAGGTGCAGCCGAGCGGAACGAAGGACGGCACTTGTCGTTCAGTGACTGGCACGTTACAATTTGGGAATCGCTGCACGCACTGAGACCGGCTTCTCCGAACAATACCAACTGGAGGAGGTGGGTGCTGGCTACACCTTCTTTTGGAGCGTCGCCCCAGGGCAGAACGACGAGAAGCGACCGTCGGCTTTGCTATCCGGAACGACATAGTGGGACGACTGTCCTGTTCGCCGCAGGCCATCAACAATCGTCTGAGGAGCCTCCGACTGCCTCTCCGGAGAGGCAACTTCGCAAACATCGTAAGCATATACGCTCCGCCGATGACCATCACTGACGCGGCAAGGAACAAATTCTACGGTGACCTGCACTCCCTTCTGTCGACTGTGTTAAAGGCAGACAAGCTTGTTGTCCTTGATGACTTCAACGCCCGCGTCGGCACAGACCATGCTGCCTGGAGAGGAGTGCTGGGTCCTCACGGAATCGCCAGCTGCAACGACAATGGCCTCCTTCTCCTGCGGACCTGCGCTGAACACCGCCTCCTTCTGACCAACACCTTCCACCTTCCAACGCTGGAGGAGGCCACCTAGATGCACTCCGGATTGTGGCATGGTAACACCCAGGTAGCGAAAGGAAACGACCTCGTACAGAAGGGTGTCGAAGCATTCAGGAATGGAAGATGGTCGCAATCTGAATACACGCTGAACTGATTTGTAACTGTTTGTTGAAAGGCTGTTTTCCAATTTATATGCTGACACATGATCCAAACCCCCTTTACGAAAATACATAACGTCATAGTTTTTGACCGAATGACAAACAGCGGTATTATCAGCAGACTCTACATAGGGGGATGATTGGGCGGTTTCAGACCGTCAGGTTAAGGCAAGCATAAGTGTGGAAAAATGCAATTCTGGAGTAATTCACACTGATTCAGAAAAAATAATCCATAAATCAGAAGACAATCCACCCAGAAGGTGATGGGGGTGTTGAGCGATATACAAGGTAGAAAAGGAATCAAGAAATGCACACACGTGTAAGCATTACAAATAATGGTGTTGGGTGCGTGTCCCTAGATCTGCTTACAGAATCCGCACCTCTACATGTGCCTTGGGGCAGTTGCCAAACGACTAGTAGTTTATCCCAAAGGACAGTGCAAATAAAAACCGGAGTGGCTGGGGTAACTATTTTGAACCTACTAGAGGAAGTTCATTTCAAACAGAGTGGTCGGGGCTTGGAATGCTTTGCCTGCAGATGTCGTCATGTCCACCTCCGTCGGGACTTTTAAGCGCAAATTGGACCAGTATACCACTAAAGGTAATAATGTCACCTGACCGACATCGTGTTAGCATTTCGTTCGGACAGTTTATTAACGTTATTATATTACTGTTTATATTTCAGTAACGTTTGTTTTGTTATTTTTAATAGACCGCTGCATGTGAGTAATGGCATTCAATTCGTCTCCCTCGGAAACTCAGATCGCACCAATTATCCATAAATTGACTACTGTACAGCACATTTACTCATGTTAATGTCTTCAACATCTGGAACAATTCTTTTATCTGACTGGTTTCGAAAGCTTTGCCAATCCGAAAAAAACTTCTGTAGCTGTTTGACGTTTCCATTTTCAAATTTTTGATATAATTCGCTTCCTTGTAACAAATAGCGAGTTCAAAGGTTCAACGCTTATGCCTAGGGAAACTCCTGCAGCAAGTTTCAGAAGTGTTGAGGCGCAAGCTATTGGATGACCAAATTTAGAACTGTATTATTGCATTTTCTATGAATAGGTGTGACTTTGGCAACATGACGAACATCCCCCATCTATGATTTCATGAAGTGCACGTTGATATGAAGAATTGGAAGGGGTGCTATCCGAGCAGAAGAGGACCTAAGGGGAAGTGGTGAAACACCATCCAGCCTGATGGTTGTTTAACCACGGGTATTTCGAAGACTTCTCTCTACTGTGGAAACCTGGTGCTGGCGAAAAGGAGATGGAAGTAAGAGTGGGCCCATCGGTAGTAAAGATAACATTTTGATTTAATGAATCTACGTTAACTTCAACATGATCCGCGGTGGTTCGTCGGCCATTGAGGTGCTTAAGGCCTTTTCAAATACCAGCAAAAGTATTAGGAAAGGAGGCTTTGAAAAAAGGCTAAAAAGCTCGCACAAAGAAAGATCGTTCAGTCTATCAATCCCATGTCTTATTAGGATGTTAACTTTCCTCGGGCTTATATGCAAGCCTACTTTACGGAGGAGTTCCTTTCGACGTCTAAAAAGTTTAAGGAAGGCATTTTGTCAGGCCTAACCACAACAGACATCAAACAAATCATTTAAATATGTTGCAAAATAGTTGAAATATGAGCGACCACCTGAGAGTACATGACTAGGAGCACCCCTACTTATAGAATTCAAGGCGTAACTTCCTGCTCAGATCGGGTGAACACCAATCTAGTAGAATTGGAGTGGACCATCGGATAACATGGTAAAATAGAAAACTCTGAGTCAGACAGTGGGGTTCTCTGGGACGTCTACACAAATATTGAGGGAATCAAGGTCTTTGGAGTCCAAAAAAACGATAAGATTACCTAGTGCATGACGTGTAAGAGTAGCTAATGAAAAATGAAACCGCAATATTCTGTCTAAACAGGGTTTTCTAGTCCACACCAGAGTTTACACGTGGAACGAGCACATCGGATCAGCAGTTTCAGTCAAAAGCGAGATGGTTCACCGTCGTGGTTGGTGATGACCAAAGTCACCACAGTGGTTACTTGGCCGAGAGGTTGGTGCGGAGCAAATTGTTGTACGCATCTATGGCCAACGCGGTGCTGAATTTGTGCACTTGTGCTCCAGTCAGGGAAATTGTCGACGAATTAAGGACACAGGACCGCATCCGCGGGTGGGTCCCCAGAAACTCTGGCCGACGTCAGCGGCTTCTTTTTTCGCTTGCATCCCTAATGTTTTGGGCAGAAGAGCCGTTGTTAACCAAAGAAGAGTCCTAAAATGAAGACCCTAACGGAGTTACATGATCTCATGTTCAACGGCAAAACCTATGAACAAATTCAGGAAACCCAATCTACCACTAAGCGGTTGAAACCGCGTTACAGAAGTCCAACCCTCAGGTCTTCGCCACTAAAGGACTACATTTTGGGTGGGCTAGGTGGATGACACCTCATTGACAGTCCGACCGTCGTTACCGACCATGTCCAAAATGCGTTCCTCCGCTGGGTGGGCGCAGGGACGGTGACTTACGTGTGGATTAGTTTACAGTGATCGTAGACTTCCGCAGCACCTACCGTACCCTCTCATCCCTCACAAACCTGAGTCCGGTGCTCCTACAGACACCATCGCAGATTCGTGGACAAATGTCGGTACTGAAGAAGAACGAGCTCTAAGTGCGAACTGGGAAAGAAGTTTGACGCCAGGGGCCACCAAACGCATGTTAAGGCCGATCACCGACCCGCGTCAACGACCCTCCTCGGCATACTCCGACAGTGAAGAGATCGCACTTGTCAGTCGTTGATCGCCATAATTACCTGAGCAGTCATCGCGGCAGGACTGGGAAATGGTTAAGAGCACAGAATCGAGAATACGAAAAGACAGTGAGGCAGGATAACGTTCTTTCATACAGCGTCGTGTCCTGCTTCGAGAAGGTTCATCCAGTTGACTTCGGCAGAACACAAACACTCTGATCAGCCCCAAGCAGGATGGCCTCCGAAAAAATCGATCGGCTGGCGAGCTGGCCTACTCACGGCCTACGAAGTTGTCCGCCACCATTTGGACAGAAGGAAAGATGACTGACGAGTCAGCCAGGAGGGCCTAAGTAAAAATCGTACTTTCCCCATCGCTCACCTACACCGACTCACCAAGGTAAAACGGAGAACTTTTTAGGCAGAATAACATTACCGACAAAGACAAGGGAGACTGGAATGGCCATTTCTGGCTTATTAGCCGTCGTCAGCCAGCCAGCCAGCCAGCCCGAAGTGTGGAACACCCGAGCCTCGAACTCGCGACCTGTTGGTTTAGAAGTCAACGCCTCTACTCACCGGGCCACGAGCCCGTTGCCCTGTCGGTTTTCGATCGGGAATATACAGTGGTAGGGGGCGCTCACCGACG